AACTATCCATCTGATATTCAGTATCTAGCCAACCCTGGTGTTCGTTGGTCTGCAGCGGGCTGTTGATGACGTGTGCGAACTGTCTAAGTAATATAGAAGCAGTGATTTGACATTAGCACTGAAAAAAAGGATCTTGTCCTCTGTGATCAGTTTTGTGGATCCTCACACTAATTTCAGAGTAATCTGTATTTAATGCATCACTTTGATTTGTAAGTAACATTAGTTTGTCGTTAATTTTATATTTAACATCTAGTTATCAGATGTTATGCAGGAAACTTTTATTTTGTGAGATATACTACTAACAAATGAATAAGTAATATGTTCTGGAAGAATATGGATACGTGGCAATATATTATACTTTATCTACAGCTGTTGAATTTTCAAAACAGGACATTTCACAAAAATTCAGGAGTTCAAGTTGCCACTCTTTTTAAAACATAATTGAATGAAAACTAAATAAATTGCACAAGAGCTATGACAAGCAAAAGATCACAACAGAAAGACTAGGTAGACGGAGGAAGTTGAGAATTTATTAGATCAGGGAGTTTATAAATGGTAAATGCATCTGCACCATTGAGAACGATTTAGCTAAGCGATAATTTTCAAGTTGAAAGATATATTACTGTGATCATAGTAAAAGAAAGAAATTTACTATATACGAAGACTGAGAAACTTATGGAATATCATGAATCAATACTCATATAAAATGTGTTTACTGGATTAACATAGATTGTGGGTAAGTTGGATTTCCTGTGCTGTGAAGAATATACTCTCAGAGTTTGGTTTTTAAATAGACAGTTACACGGAAGCCTAGATAAAATACCTTGGCCACAATTTGTTTGTTCATATGACTTAAATTTTCTATGAAGGCGTCAGTAAAGCTTCTACTTCGAGTTCACGTCCACTTTAAGTGCCGAGGCTTAACTGAAGTATACGAAATGTGTATTAGTGTAACATAATGAAAAACATTTACTGCAAAAGAAATGGAGTATTTCTTCTGTTTATATTCGGTTGCTTTCTTGTCAGATGTTCATACCGGCATATAGAGCCGCGAATAATGACGATAGTTCTAGCAAACGGCATTTTATTTTTTTCTACTAAGATAAATGACATTTTTAAAAGATCTCTTTATACAAAAGTGAAATCTGTGAAGTCTTCTTTTTTCTCACTTGTAAAATCAGTAAACCATAAATGAACGGCGACTTCAATGAGGATGCCTGGGGCTAACTTGTATTAAACTGATATGAAGAGAAACATTTTATGAGTGTTAATGCCTAACCTTAAACCATTTCATATTTGTGAATGAAAAAAAATGAACGATTGCCTTCTGCAGAATTAAATTCGTATACTGTAGCATCATAGAAAAGTGAATACCACTGGTGACATTTACGGTTTCTGGAAGTCATCTTAAGGAGGCGGCTTATTTAACATTACATTTAATGATAATGAAAACAGTGAATCAAATTTGTACAATTATTTCTTATATAGAATGGAATTTTCAGCGTGTAAATATTGTAACGACTTCTTTCCTTATACAAATGAAAACGAATTACATGACCGCTAAAACTGGAGCTAGAAGGAGAATAAAGAATAAGCTGTTGTTTCTTTAAAGACTATAAAGTGGGTTTATTAGTACTTTTCCAACATATGTCTCCTCGTGCAGTACTCATGCCAAATATGGAATGGTCGAATTGTTATATTTAGCCGCACAAGCTTATACAAGCAATTACTATGATTTTCCATTTGATATTTCTAATACTTTAAAATTCCACCAGTAACTGCAAGTTATGATAAAACCGTAATTGATGAATGTTGTAAATTACACCGGTATTAACTCAGAAAATAGTAATATCAGTAACAATACTTAAACAAATGGTTGACGGAGGTAGGGATGGGGATAATGAAAATGTAAAATGACTAATTAATAATGCAAATATCTAAATAATTAAATTAGGCAAAAATCTTAGGAAAGTAGAATTTACGGAAGATAAGCGGGATAGATAATTTAAGATAGTGGATTATCTGTCATGACCAAAATCATTAATTTATGACCAGACTGGTAAGTGAAATGAATTCCTTTTTCCAAAATCTACCTGGATATGGAGGTATCTCAGTTACCACTGCACTCCAGTGAAAAGAAATACTATTGATCAGGGGTAAATCTAATAGGACTAAAAGAGTAAGCCCAGTTGACACTTAAAGGCAAAAATTATATTGGTAGACCTCTGGTTAGAAGTAATTACCACACGAAATTCGTAAGAAGATATCAGGTAGTCAGCTCACCGATTTCTACTCTCCCTGAGGTTCTAAAGAAAAATGTACTTACCAAGCTTCTATAGTTAATCAAAGTTCAGGTGAAGATTGAACAGTGAGGTCAGAAAGATATTTTATGCAACTAGAGTCCAGATCATCGATGACTGGAAAAGTATATACTTTTGAAGCCTTTCGAGCAAGTAAAAATGATATTATGTACGATTCCATTGTCCATTTAGACACTCTAATATACGCAAAGCTATTCAATTCTTGCAGCTGGGGGTTAGAGAATGTCTTCTTAAATGACCACTGAAGTAGGAAAGCTCTATGGAACATCAATATAATGGAAAAAGACTTCAAACCTATTCCGTTTAGTAAGACATAGGTATGCCTGCACATGTTAAGCGAATTCTGATGGGCATTTCACCCTCGTATCATTTGTGTTCACAAATTAATTCATGCAAAAAATTGGCCACTGTGATAGTATGTAATTCCATATTATTGTTTATTAGATATATCACACAGTGAAACAGTATTATTTACTAGATCGTTTTTCGAACACTAATTATTCTTCATAATCACATCAGTTATAACCACACAACTTTGAAATTTTCATTTATAGCTTTCTTTATATTTTCCTATTAGACGTAGGCGTAGTAGAATTTTTCAAATGCCTGAAACAGGTGTTGAATCATTCCTATTACACGTGTATGCAGTTGATTCTATAAATGAAGCTTCCGTTATGCATCTCTCCCTCCATCCTGTTACATTAGATTTTAACACTGTCATCTTATCCCATCCATCCTATTGTATGCTTGTGTGTAATTGCATGAAGTGCTATATAGCTGAACTATTCTCCAGATTTCTTATCTTATTAGGGTCGACCAATCTTATGAATCGGGTAGCTTCCAGTGTTAGGTTGCAGCATGGAAGGAAAGAGGATTGGAAATCAAACTGTTTTCCAGGAAAGCAACACATTCAAACAGATATTCAGATTTGCGATCATCCCATCCTATGCCAGTAAAAGTAGGACTGGTAAAATGCTTAAGTAATGAGGCACAAAAACTAAGTAGTACCAAGGAAAATTTAAGACAGGAAGCGAGGTGTATAAGAGAACCTAATGGTAGTGACAGTGATAATAATAATACGAATGATGACATGTATGTCAAACATGCGCAAGATAATGACAACACCATCAATAAGGAATCCAGATCATCAGTAGTACTTCCATACAAAGAAGGAACCTCGGAAACCTTATGGAGAATTATTAACAAGGCTGAAATAATAGTGGCACTCAAACGCACAAACTCAATTAGAAACAAGCTTTGTCGGTTAAAGGATCCTGTAGAACCTTTAAAACAAAACAATTTAGTTTATCTAATACCCTTCTGTAATGATTGTCAGGTCAAATACATAGGTCAAACTAGTAGAACAGGAGCAGTCAGACTAGTGGAGCATTAAAAGCTAGCAAAATCTAGATTAGCTGACTCGAATAAGATAATAAATCTGGAGAACAGTTCAGCTATATAGCACTACGTGCAATTACACACAAGCATACAATAGTATGGATGGGATAAGATCAAAGTTGTAAAGTCTTATATAACAGGGTCAGCTTATCTTTCTATTAATACGTTCAACATAACTGTCATGAGATCTTCCAAGGTGATTCATCGTATCCCACCAAATCTCCCCAGTAGTCTTCGTATTCGTCTACTGCACACAGCTGAGGCGATAGGCCTTCGGACTATTAGACCTAAACTATGCATCAAAAAAGTTCGTGCAGCCATTATCCTTCCCTTGGCCTCTTAAGACATGACCAACTGATGGCTTTCCCACCAACCCTTACTTATATTTTCAACCCCTCCCTTATCATTTCCTAATCTTATCACATCTTCATTAAAACCGCGTTTCATTTCCTTCCCTTACAATCTAGCATTACTTAATCGGTTCATTTGTTTTTCTTAGCCTTTATTGTTTGTTTAATCGTGCTGTTTTTCATTATTCTTGTTATCACAGATCGCCTCACCTTTTCATCCTTATTACTGATAGAACCATTATTATTATCACTACTACTAATTGCACAATTTTTATGCACCATCTTATTATCCTATCGACAAAACACCATGATTGGTTTATATTTCAATTTTTATTTGTAAATTTAGAGTTAAGTCTGGTGAGATCGAATTGAAAACAATATTGTTCGCTTAAATGTGTTGCTCTAAATTTTACTATGGGATTATTTAGTATTTTAAAAACCTTATCCAGTCATATGAGTCATGAAACAGGCAACAAAATATAATAAACAAAATTGCATGAACTGTGATCAAAATTTGACCTCAGGCTGATAGATATTGTTAGCCGTTGTTAGACACACACATAGTAGTAGTTTTTAACCTCGAACTGTTTTATTTCCTACTAGTAAATTTGATTCTTTACTGGTCTTTCAATTTAGATGGCCTTGCTAACCCTCAGATAACAATTTAACTCCTCCATGTGATCAGTTAATCATGATCAATCTGGTTTTAAGTCTATAGGAGTGCATGTGTGCACGTAGAAAGGATCGATTATTGGGCAAAAACTTGTGTGGTGATCCTTCTACACTCTTGAAAAACAGCTTTGAGAAATTTAGAGTATTTAATGGTAATGATACCTCTAAGTATATCATACAAATTCTCAAACATGCCTAATTCAATCATGTAATGATCATATTTTAATCATGTTCATGAAATTCTTCTTTATTTCTTTAGATTATCAAATAGATCACCGTACAATTTGTCAACATATTCAAATTGCCGTCAGCATGAAGGCACTGTACATGGACATGAGTGTTTACAAAAGAATGCATCATTTCATGTGAATGATACATGTTTAAATGCAAATATTTTAGGAAGTTGCAGTCCAGCAGAAACTTTAGCTGGTGGTTCAAATCCTGGTTCCTTGGGAGTGTGTACAGGGCATTCAATTACAAATGAACAAATTAATCAAGGTATTCATATGAATTATTATCCAACACAGAATTCTACTTGTTTACATTCTGATTGTAATGCGAAAAAGATTACAGAAACCGTACCACTACTGACTACTAATCAGTGTAATTGTGTTACATCGAGTGATGCAACAACACCGATGAATTGGTTACCAAATAATGGTGCATTTAACATTGGTATGCCTGCTGGAGGAGGTTACTTTGAAGACAGACACTCTACTTCAGCAGAAAGTGAGCCAGACGGTAACAGCTCAATAAAAATGAACAACTGTCATGAGGATGGAAGAAATTGGAGAAATAACGCGGGCTGCAATAAATTCGGTCTGAATAAACAATGGCCGAGTAAGTTTGTACTAACAGTTGAAACTAGATTTGATAAATATTTTATCAGTTCTGGGTGATATTATGTGACTGAATTCAGGTAAGATAAACTGTCATTAGTTTAAAATATCAGTTTATTTGTGACAAGTACCAAGGAAAATCTAAGACAGAAAGTGTGGCATATAAGAGAGGCTTTGAAACTTAATAATTACCCTGATAAATTAATCGAAAACTATGTAAGGAAATATAAAAATAAATTAAATAATAATAGTGGTGATAGTGATAACAATAATAGTAATATTAATGGGGATATGCATATCAAACATGCTTAAGACAACACAAGCAATAAGGAATCTAGATCATCAGTAGTAATTCTATACAAGGAAGGAACCTCGGAAACCTTATGGAGAATTCTTACAAAGGCAGGAATAAAAGTGGCTGGCATTCAAACGCACAAACTCAATTAGAAACAAGCTTTATCGGTTAAAGGATCCTGTGGAGCCTTTGAAACAAAACAATTTAGTTTACATAATACCCTTCTGGAATGACTGTCAGGTCAAATGCATAGGTCAAAGTAGTAGAACAGGTGCAGTCAGACTAATCGATCATAAAAAGCTAGCAAAATATGGATTAGTTGAGGATAATAAGATAAGAAATCTAGAGAATAGTTCAGCCATATAGCACTACATGCAATTATTTAAAACCATACAATAGGATGGATGGAATAAAATGACAGTTTTAAAATCTAATGTTATAGGGTGGAGGGAGAGATTGATAATGGAAGCTTCATTTATCGAAACAATTGCATACACGTGTAATAGGAATGATTTAACACCTGTTCCAGACATATGGAAAATTCTACTACGCCTACGTCGAATAAGAAAGAGTAAAGAAAACTATAAAACTCAAGTTTTGAATTTTTGTGGTTATAATTGATGTGATTATAAACAGTAAGTGGTGTTCAAAAGATCATCCTGTAAATGATACTGTTTCACTGTGTGATATTTATAATAAATAAACTAATATGGAATAACATACTACCACAGTGCCCAAGTTTCACACATATACGAATAGCACCCAGCTGGTAAAATGGCCAATGTTATTTCCTAACTGTATATAATCCTTCTAGATAAATAGTTATTCACTTGTCATTTACATTTGAGGACGTATGATTTATGGTGTTCACATGACTTGGGATAGAGATGGAGAAGACGAAAATCATGCACGATGGAGACCCCAATTTATGGGCTGGTGGCAGCCATAAGTGTCAGTCTCCCCTTGTCATGAATTTACATTAGAAAGGAGATAAGTATGACAATTCAGTACTTCTCTCATTCGAGAATTTAAGCCTGTAAGTTTTAATTAGCTTATAGAAATCCGATTCATTGTTTTTCTTGTCAAACAATCTGTGGGTATACTGTATGACTATTATCATCATAACAAAACAACAAAAGACACTGACTAGCAACAACAAGCTCTAGTCACTGTGAACGGGAGGAGTATAAAAAAGGTCACTTCTTTCACTTAGTTATACAAGAGCATTTTGACTACAAGCTGCACAAATGAAGCATATCGAAGCTAGCCAGGATCACAAAAGCATGACAGGCGTTCATTACTCTGAAAATGGTATGTACATCTATATGGTTCAGACACTTGGTGTGCCACGAGAATAATTTCCAACAGGCTGTAGAACTTCATCAATAGCTGCCTTCGTCATAAAATGAAGATCATATGGCAGGAAAGAGTAGGCAACACAGATCCTTGAGAACAAGCCATTTAGGCAGGAACGAATAAATAACATAATTCTTTCAATAATGGGTGAGCTGATAAACGAAAACCGAATGGTGTCATATACTAGAGTTTGTTCTTTGCGTCACTTAAAAGCCGCAAGTTGCTAAAAAATAACAGGCTTAAACTCACTACAAAGAAAGGCATCCTTTAAGGAAGTGAAGATAATCCTTTTTAAGACATCGACTGGAAAATGTCCCTTCAACTTCAGATTTCTCTGTATATCTTCTCAAAGAAGGGGTTTTGGTTCGATGTTTTCCCACGTAAGCCATTCTAGATATCCGTTTTCAACTAGAACATTTTTGAGGTTTGTAGGTTTTCTTTCAGACAGCTAGTATCTTAGATTCACCTGATGTGATAAGCAAGTGTAGTGATAAATGATATCCTTAGCTGATGAGCATTTGGCTGTAAAAGCCCGTAAATTTATTATTTAATTTGAGCTTCACATAGGCAAATCTTTTCAGTACTTCTTTATTTATTTTGATCATTTCTACATCCAGAGATGGAATCGATTCTTCTTATTCTGACATGAATTTAATTGAAGGATGAAATGTAACTGAAATCTGAGGTGTCATGGCAAATTATAAAATTGTCTTCAACATATACACCCTTCATCAAAATAGAAATTTGCTGATCATTGCCTTCAAAATGCTGTTTTATTTGTTTAACTTAAAGCTGAATTGTTTTGTTGCTATTTTATATTTTAAAGATGATAATACAGAAACAGCCAATATAAAAACATCTAGTCCTCATGAAATGACATTATCATACCTTGCCGCCGGTGTTCAAAATCCAGTCAACTGTCATACACATTGTTGTCAACAACAACAGCAACAACTGAAAAATATGGTGAATCCAGGTGGATACAAAACTGCCACAGCTATTCCAATGCTACCACCTGTGGCCAGTTTACAAATGTCATGCTGTAATAATGCTAACAGTCTACAGACAAACTTTAATCGTTCACGGGATTTTCGAAGTAATCAGATGAATAAAATGACTGGAGAGCATGGCTTAACAGGAAGTGGTAGTCTTACAGATGAAGTGACAGCATCATCTCCAGGAAGCAGTGCTACTGGACGTACACATGGTTATCTTAGTCAAATTTCACCGTCTCCAACAAATACAAGCTTAAAATTTAAAAAATACAATCGGATCATAGGGAAATATGACGATGATTATGATACTAATGATAAATTGATACTGATGGCAAGTAATATGAACTGTAAACGTGATGTGAATTTCAGAATTTCAGATAACAAACTTGATGGACTTGGAACACGTAGGTTATCAAGAATATTTGATTTCGAATTGACTTTTCACGATATTTATTGAAAGAGGGATTTTGGGCAATAGGATTTATAAAATCATAGTGTTTACCAGTGTGAATAAACTTCATTTATATTATTGATGTGGAAATTTCAAAAGTTTAGATTAGACAATCACCAGATTTTATACAGTTTATCACTGCTAATAAAAATAATATCTCGGAAAAATGTCAAAGAGGTATGGAATACCCACCAGATTAAAGGCAGTTATAAATGAAGGCGGAATGAAAATCTGGGTGGGAGCAGGCTTCGATGCAGCAACCTCAGAATTCCAGCTTAGTAACTTGTATCCCAGTGGGTAGAGCACTGAACTAAAAACTTGATGGCCCGGTTTCGAACAGAAAATGACCTGGATTTTCATGATGTCTTCATCCAACATCCATCACATCAGTTACACTCTGTCAAACCAAAGTCAGCTTTAGATTTTCTCGCCATCACCGTGCCAGATTATTGTATAAATTTATAGCATGTTGTGTTATGGAAAGTGGAACGCTAACGCTATAGTATAGTTTGAATGTTAAATTTTGCTTGAGATGTCAACAAGAACTAATATTGTGTCTTTGAGGTGTATTAAGGTTGTTATGGTATTTGTAACGGATGTCATGTTCATTTCGGTTCACCCTCATGGTAGCCATTAGACTGTTGTGATTGAGTGGCGAAAACTAATCATGAATTCGTAATTTTCTTCTTATGAATTTAATACTACCACACGGTCGTCTGATGGCGATTTCATGGTTGAATAAAAGTTCGTATACATTACAGTCATATTAAACGAAGATATTTGAAAACTAACGTTACCTGATTATGTTTATCCCAGTTTCGTAAGTACCTTATATCAAACGGTGCCACATGACTAATTCACACTCATGATTACTCTGATATCTGCATGCAGACATCTGACAGCAGCTTTTTATCAGTCTCCAGAATTTGTAGAAGACAATAACCTCGGAAGTAGCCATTACTAAAGAGGATAGAAGACATTTCAATATTAAAATATTTATATATATAAGTCATATAGGGTAATAAAATCAAGAACATCTGCTGAACCAGAAGAAAAAGTAATGAGTCTGACATGATCAATCTAGTGTATTCTATAAGGTAGCATTTTTCAAAGGAGATATTAAATGACGAACTACAACTTCAAAGAAGTGTTAAATGTTAGAAGGATTTCGTGAAAGCGTTTCGAAATTATTTTAATTGCAACAGTTTGAATCAACGCATCACTTTCATGTTCCTTTCAATTGGTTTACACATTGTCTTCCCTTTTTTCATAGGTCAAAAGTTAAGCGTAAATCCCCCAAGTGATCAACCAAACATTTCACCAATACCACTGAGAAAATATCATGGTAGTAAAGGTCAAATACTGTGTGATAATCAAAGTGAAAGGTGTCAAAATCTTGGAACAGGGATAACCTCTCGAAATAATGCACTGAGCTCTGATTATGCTTCACAGCAAAGCAGCTTAAGTAAGATTTCTGTATTATTAGCATACTACCTCACTGTGAAATTTTTCCTGTCTAACTGTTCACCCCATTTATGACCTTTTGAATAGCCTGATACCTCAGTACTCAACAGGTTTGCAAAACTTACTTACGCTATTACTGGTAACACTTAAATGGTTTTACTGATCAGAAAACGTTTTAGTTGGCTGTGCAACTGTACAAATTACAGAGGCGAATTTCACTGTTTCACAGTACCGCAATAACTGACCTCTAATTTATTTATACGTAGATTTTAGGAGACTTGTTTACACAAAATTAAACTGGAAAAAATGGAAACGAAATTGTGTAACCACTAAATACAGAATACAGAGTAAATGATTTCTAATAATTAAAGTTACTCTCCAAACTTTTTAAAACAGTGAATTAAAATTAGTTATCAGAAGGTAGCCAAGATGCATTTTACTTCTGGGTCAGAGAAGGATGAAAAAGTACGAAGAATCAACTGTCGTGTCCTTCACAGTCATCAGTGGTTTATAATGAGATGTTAGTCCTCAGGGAAAACTACTTAATTTCCCGTGAACATGATGATCAAGCCTTCAGAGAATTTCTGTAGGTGAAAATATTCGTTCTAATGTAGGTTTGACAAGTATCTTCCTCAGGATATAATAATAACTCTGTGCTCAAAAATGTTTGATCGTTTTGCTCAAAATAGACACTAGCAGCATAAGTGGAATATTACTTTACCTTGCAATAACCAATTAAGATGTTTTGATCGTAGCGTTGTATGCTATTCTTTATGTCTTATTTTTCCCAAACAGCGAACTGTTTCGTTATTTTTAAGTCATTATTTTTACTTGCCGCAATCATCATGGTTTTCCTTTGGTTACCTAGTGATTTGTTAGGCAACAGTCACTAAAGTTGAAATGAACATCTAACTTAACGTAAAACGTGAACCAATAGGACATCTGAAGTACTGAATTTATACTGTGTTGTAGGAATTATTAAGCACAGCTGATCCCCACTTCACAACTTTTCTCCTAGGCCTTTTAGAGTTGACTTACTGGTTTAGTTGAGGTTTTTTTGGACTGTGTGGTTCAATCGCGAAACTTTCATTGTCTATCTACACAATATATGAAATCACAAAGGTATCAGCTTCGGAGATTTCGTTTACAATGACAGTGGAGGTTTTTCACTTAAACCATTTAACTAGTCTGCTCCGTTATTGTTCTCAACAGCTGCGAGATTACTGATCATCCAGTATAATCGCACTTACAGCTGAATCTTGTATGCTTGTATCACTTAAAATCAGGCCAAACCAGGCAGATATTTTACTGTTTACTGTTACAGTACAATCTATATATTATGGTAGTGTATAATACCGTTTTACGTAAGATTTTCCGATGTAATACAGAGTGATACAGTTATTAATACCGCACTAAGAGGACTGTATTTGGAAGTGAAACAAGAAGAGAGTATTTTTCAGTTTGCAAATCCCATCATTTAGCAACGATGTTATCAAGCTAAGAAACTGATGTCTGCGTTTGTTTATCCTACTACGAAATGACCAAAACACACTCGATTCTATTTATTTGTCTATCTGTCTACAATTAGAAACAGAATGGTCACAATCTTGTATATCACAATAAAAGTTGTAAAACTGGGTACACTGGGGGAGGGGGGAAATCTAGGTGGAGTTATACTTGTTTCCCTGTATTTTGACATCTTTCTGAAATGACATCTTATTGAAGACCACTGCAGAAATCACACTTTTATTTATATTTTACCTAAACTATCTTTTTCAGTTGGCATGGTTACACATTTTGAAAATTGTGTTTTGGGAGGCATATTCAATAATAAGGTTTCTACTTATTATATATGGATTTTGCAGTTTATTAAGTAATGGTGCGTCGGTGGCACAGCGCTTTAACACTTTAACATTTTCGTCCGTACGGAACTAAGAATTAAACCGACGATGAAATGCTCATCATATTACGTTCGTTATATTTTCAGTTATTTTATTAACTATCATTAACCAGGATATTTACAAAGAAATTTTTATTTCCTCTTACTCATTTCAACTACCAGGTAATAAATCAAGTGGTTCAAGTGCAGCAAATCATGGGTTTTCACCAGAGAAAAATGCCAGTTATCCGAATAAAGTACCAGTCATAGATATGAATACAAATAATCAAGATATAGGAGCATCTTTTGTACTGGATCGTGTACCGACGCCAGAGCCACAGCACAGGACAGGACCATTTGCAAGGTTAATGCAATATAATTTATCAGATCAACAGGTTAGTAGGCTACAGATACACGATATGGATGATTATCAACCAAATAAAATGGGAAATAAGAGTAGTATAGTTCAGTCACCTGGCGTCATGAAAAGAAAGACGCTAAATATCAGTGGAAGTATTCCTGCCACTGGAGCACAAAATGCTTTCTCACCTGAATCAGAGGACAATTCAGAATTTACTAAATGTGAAGCAACTCCTGATACACCAGACAGTATATCTGAACAGGAGATGATGGTAAGTGGCCCAGGTTAAACTTATTGCATAAAATATGAACTTAAATGTTTGTTTTTTGAATTTATTCAGCATATTTCATAATATCAAGATAGTGGTAACGCTTACGAACTTGTTGAGTTTGTACAAACAGTTATAAAAACACTCAGTAGCACTCGTTGAGCTTTGGTCAGCTTTTATGCCTGCCAGTGAATTAAAAATGACCCCACCAACAATTTTATGCCTACCATTTGCACACATATATCTCATGAGAAAGGTAGTGAATATTCCTACGCTCTGGAAACTGAGTAAATGGAGATAAAAATGTCCTGTGGAAAATGACATAAGAAGGGAGTAGAAGCTGGTGGTGTACAGTCAGTTTTTTACCAGCAGTAAATGAGCCCGTTACATCATTCTAGAGATTCTGCCATTGTATTATACCACACGATAAATTAGCCACATAAGTAACCATTTAGCGGCTTACTTTTCCGTAAATATAACCACGTTTAAGAAAGCTATTCATTGTGGGGGGCATAAACAAGATGGCTGGTACCGAATAAATTACCACTTATCTTACTGAACTCGAAAGACCAACTGCCGACCTTTGATTCACCATAATGACGGGTGTAACCAATTCTCGAATATGGTTCTAGAATTTTATAGCATTAATACAACTTCAAGCTATAAAGTTATGTGGGAATAATTCTTTGACATCATACATGTTAACACTAGTGTTTGGCGTTCAATCTCGCTAAGAGAATTAGTTCCTCTGTAAAGTCTCAATTAAATCAACCAGCTCAGAGAATACAACTAAAAATCATTCACCTGAGCTACAGATCTTCTCCATTATTTCACAGACTCAGATTATTTGAATTTCATGTTATAACTGGGAGTAACAGCAGGGAAGAAATGTGAAATTAGAGTGTAAGAAATACTGCCTTCTCAAATTTACAGACAGTGAATGCATTTTACCAAACTGCAATCACGTTAGTACAAAAGTTAAATATTATGAAATAATCAGTAGCTTTGAGAAGACAGTATAACTGTCTGCACACGTATCGCATGAATACTGAAGTGAATTACATTTTTTGTAGTTCGCTGAAAATAACATACTGCCAAAAGTTTTTTTGCAATCCTAGTGTTTACCACGTTCTTGTGAATGATTCAAGCATTTCAGTACCAAACTTTTTCATTCATTATTCGAAGTGACTAAATTAACCAGCACTTTTACAGCTAATACTTATAGCTAGTTAAGTACTGAAGATATATATTCCAAAATGAAGTATATGAGGAATAGTCGAATTCTGTGTAATCAAAGCTATAAGGCTGCTTTGTCCTAGTTTGGGACTCTTCAGTTTATTATCTGTCGTAAGTGGGATAAGGGAAATAAAACAAGCAGCGTTAAGATAAATATAGTATTTTGGGAAAATCAGATCTATATAATAGTTTCTTTTTAAAAGTCCCTTAACGGAAAAATTAACTTTTTATTAACCGGTTTTATCTAAGTCAATTTTGAGCCTCCTGTTGACTGATTGGGATGGAGTTTTAGGAAACTGTTAACACGTAGGCTCCTAGTACAGATACCTTGAGGATGGCTGAGGATTAATTTGATGTTAGCACTGTACCTTATTATGCACATGTCGACCTATTTGGAACTCCTCATTCAGATGCAACTAATCCACAAATATCGTAGAAGCGTCGGTACTAGCAACTAATATGCCAATAGCGGCCTAAAATTTCGGTCCGTTGAATCAATTGAACACGAAAATTGACTTCAAGAGACAACAGCTGATACCACTTGAACATGAGGTAGCCCAGACGGTCCCCTGGATAATGTTTTAGCGTTTCGAACGATGGGCCGTGGGTTCATGTTTCTTTCGGGACATTATTATCCACTGAAGATAGCAGGTAAATCCATCTAGTAGGTCCGTATTAAAGAGAAATGAGTATCGCGAATTCAACTTCTAGTCACACTCCGCCGAAAACTATCTGACAGCTATCTGATTACTTTATAAAACATGGAGTAAATAGGAATGTTGACGAAAGTCGCCATGATACTTTATTCTTTAATCAAAAGAATAGAAGCATCCAGTATCCACTTTTTCCAAATTCTTGCATTTCAAATAGGCATAAATCTAGAGAATTTATGATTTCATGTTATCCAACTAGTGTAATGTCACATGAAACTCAACCAAGTATTTCTTCTTATTGTGTTTTCTTATTTGCTTTATATGGCCTCACTGCCTTATATACCTGATATAAGGATATAAGCTACATGAAAGAATGAGGCTGAGTTCATGCACATAATCTTGGGTATTTTTCTCAGCCAAATCATTCACAAACTATCCTACTTATAACCTTAATGAAAAGCAAAGTCACAACAGGATTTCATGAAAAACTCCCATTCGAACATTAATGGACAGAAGACCAGTAGTTCAGCAAAGAGTCTCTTTTCAGCGAATTCATTTTCATAGCTGTACAATCGCAAATATATATTGTTGCTTTGTATGTGTGTTTACATTAAATTCATCAAACGAAATACAACTAGAAAGTTCAGATAAATTGGATGTTGAGTTACGCAATAAATTAACAATCGTTTGTGACAACTCATCACTTTTGTTACTACCCTCTTATATCAACATTAAATTCATCTGAACTTACTAATTGTATTTTCGTTTGACGAATTTAATGTACACGCACATACAAAAAACATTATATATTTGCGATTGTGGGGTTATGAAAATGAATCCGTCGAAAAGAGACTCTTCTCTGAACAACAGGATTTGTCAAGTATTAAAAGTAACAAATGTACAGTAAACGGGATTCTTCATTTCTAATGAAACAAATGGGGCCAACTATTTTCATTCCGGATTTGTTACAAAATCTTCACAAATCGAATACTTTGTGATTTGAGATAATTCGGTTCTGTTAACTGAGTTTAAGTGGTTGTATCGCTGACGAGTTCAGCGCAAACGATAGAAACTGTCGTTCGTTGTTGACATCACTGTAATCTGGCTAGCTAACACTACTGATTGATGTCAGTGGCATTCAAGTCTCCATATCAATCAACCAGCAGTATATAGTAAAATCCATTTATGCTTATTTTATCGATCTCCATTTATGGTATTACACAATCGAGATTACACATTGCGATCTGAATAAATTCGGTTTTCAAAAGAAAGTCTGGTGACATTTTGCCTAGAATTGCGTAACTTACAATTAGCGAATTAATTTCCACAAAGTTCCCCAACCAGCGAGAATTTGAATTAATGCTCCAATGTTTTTCTGCATTTTCATTTTCAGCGAGGCTTCAGTACAGAAGAACTCAACCAAGAAATGGCCAATTTAGAAGGATTAATGAAAAATTTATCAGAAATCACACAAAACGAATTTACCTGCTAAAATATGCATTTACTTCAATTTTTTGAATTCTAAACTTTCAAAATTTATTTTCTCTTTTTTTCTCTTCTGTCACTCTTTAAGTCAAAGAAGTCTCATAGGAATATTCTTATTTTTTATTTAGGTTGACTTGTTTCTTTAAGATAAAAATTGAATAATTTATGGCAAAAACGAACCTGGCTACTCACGAGTAGCATAAATGTATAGTCTAAAAAACGTTTTCGATGGTTTTGCATTTTTTTTCAGTTGACAAGTGAGTGATTGGTAGTTGAGTAAAATGTGCTAATTTTTCCTAAGGAGACAGAGTCAACCATTTTTATGCTTTCTGTTATGAGTACATTTCAGACCAATAGGATTTTACTATATCCCTTATATAATTTACAATTTATAAATGATACGTTAACTGTCTGCCTTAATGTATATGCAAATCCTTCTTCTCTAATGTGAAGTATTTACCCAGTGATTAGATGAAGGTGATCAGACAATTATGCATTCTTCTCCATTTCTGCATTTGGCTACTTCTAATCTTGAAAGTTGAACAAGGGATTCTAGTAATGGTTGAAATGGTGATAAAATTTATTATCCAAAGTTATTCATTTATTAAATCTCTACACTTTTTTTAAAATAACTGGCTTTTCTACTAAAAAAACAATTATGAGATATGCATTATCTTCAATAAGTAAATAAATAAATAAATCTGCATAGTCTGTACAGTTTTATCTAATCCATATTGTTATTGCTATACTGTTGATATAATCAAATAAATCATGAAAATATGAGTTGAATTTTATCCATGTAATAGAAGATTGTCTTTGCTTCCTTAATTCAGTTTTTGATATTATGGGAGACAAGAGGGTTGAGCGAAGATATACTCACTTTTCAATTGGATCTTTCCTATGGCTGCATTTGAATATACTGAATTGTTGAAAAGGACAACGAAAGCTGTACAGTTAAGCCACCAAGGACACAAGTGATCTGGGATTCGATCCCCGGCCGGTTTACTCCTAAATCTCACTTAACCGGTAGTAAACCTGATTGACGGGGATGGGTACGCCTGAGGCTAGTAACTCCGCCCCATGAAAATAGAACCATGGCTACTAAAACATCAGACTGAAGCTCTAATCAGAAATTAAAGAAATCATAAACAAAGATCTGAGAAAATGACCACAGCAAAACAAGAAAATCGATATCTGATCAAAGCTAACCAACATTAGCTTAAGACTTCCAATTAGTCATAAACAGTCTAGATGAATTTAAATGTTTAGCATGTATTGAGAAAGTAGAGAAATTTTAAGAAAAAGGTAAAGACTGTTTATGATGAAAAGAATGAAAGAGTCGATTTCTCTTCACCGCTTCAAATGAGGTGTATATGAGTACCATTTAATTAAGTAGAGTTTGCATACTATACGTGTGGTAAGATGCATAAGTACCAGGACTAAACCAGAAGTCAGATTTTTAGTAAATGATCATGAACAGCAGTGCGTGTTAGTTTGTCAGCGATGAATGACCAAATGTGAATTTAAAAATTGGAAGATTTGATCTTACAAAGGTGAATGAATATACATGAAATACCTAAATGGCTCCAGAAACCAATTGAATCATCAGAACCCATTACTGGTGATAACAGGAGACCTAGCTCCTCTATTGCGGAACATATTATAGAGACAGGATATAAAATTGACGTTAACACATCTTTTAAACCTATCTATAAAACGTCTTTGGTACGTATCCCAAAGTTTGTGGAAGCCCTAGCTAGCAACTAGAAAGTTTAAACCACCTTATGTGTTCAAAGCAACAATTTGTCATCACACTAAACCTTTCTTAGTAAACTTTGTTTTGATACCAGTCAGGATAGATGGACTATTACCTCTGTTATTTGGTTTAGTGGTCCTCATTGTTATTTTGACATTTAGTATGTCCTTTCGACTTGACTTAAGTCTGTTTTCTCACCTCTCAACTCTTTATTAATTTCACATATATTCCTGTGATAAGTCCATGTGTGATCAGATTGTTCGAAATGTGTTGCGCATATACACTACACGATTCAGGCAGATTAAGTCTTCTTATTACTTTATCTAAATTCATAAAGGGAACTAATTGTTTTAAAAGGTGAATGAATCAACCTGGTTTCGTTGGTCAATAAAGAAACAGGCAAGAAATAGGAGCACAGATTTACACTCAAAAGATATAACACAATATGCTAGTTCAGAATTTATACGTGTAATAATAGGCTAAGATAGCAATAGTGGCTAGACTTCCTTTTTTTCTCAAATGTACCTAGTTTCAACTTTCTAAAACGATCTGATGAGATGTTCACCGCTTGAAATAAGTTGATTAGATTCATGGTAGACAGTGAAGAATGATTCTTCAACATTTGCTTAGTGGTCTTCTCGGAATAGGTAAACGAATTCTGAAATATTAATTTCTTTTGTTACATCTTTGCTTGGCCACGCCGGTAAGTGGTCCCGAGAACATTATATGTAGCAAATGATTAGGAGTTATAGTTCGTCATAAGCATGACACGTAAATCTAAGAAACGGTAGTATTGTAAAGTATCTACTAAAGAAACAGTTGATATGGCAGCAACTTTTGCTTAAGAAGAAGACGAAGGAGAAATAGAATGATTCCATCTCATTTATGAGTGGTGTATTGGAAGCATGAGTGGATGGGACAATAATTGGAAGCATGCACTGAAAACCTGCAATAACTTAGTAGTACACTCACAATTAGAGTTTATTCATTCTACGAAAGAAATGAAATCTAATTAATTAATAACAGACAATAATTACTTGTTTGGACGATATACTCCACAATGAATCTTACAATATCCGTGATCTACTTGGTAGAAGTAGACATACAATGAAATATGGGCTTAGTAAGTGTCAAAACTTAAGTAACAACTGTCCTAAAATGTCAGTATTTCTAAGACTGTAGATCATGGAAAATGCTGCCTGTAAAACTAAATGGCAGCATTTGAGAAAAGCCCTCAGTGGGACTAATTCTTTAGTCAATCAAATACTTAATTCTCTAAATAAGGACAAACTGCCTGATTTTCCTCTTTTATATGTATTTACTAATTTAAACGATTCTAAGAGCTAGCGATATTAGCTATGCACGTAGGGTAATCAATGTCGAATTCATCAATACCACCTATCTAGGTTGAGTAAAGAACTGAGTTAAGCAATATCTTACTCCATACCAGATAAAATAGTTGATAGGGAATATCATATTGAAATCATTTGGACTTTGGAAGTTATTCATCGCATCTTAACAAGCAATTTTATGCTCCATGAGTCTGATTTCTACAACTTCAGCATAAATTCGTACAAACCCTTCCAGTTCTATGGTGGTTTACAACAGTATGCACAGAATGCGTCTTATACCACCATCGATGGAAATGCCTTGTGACATTGCTGTTATAATTAGGTCCATGTTCGCCAGCAGTGGAAGTGTCAACCGTCAATAACCAATACCACTTACACTAGCAGTGGTTGTTGTAGCCTTCAAAGCTCATCGACAAATCCTTTTGTGTTTGAAATGACAGGTGTATGGTTTGATTTTCGGTAAGAACACCATCACTTACTGGAGACTTAGATGCATCCGATTGACGAGTGCCAAATTGGACAAAAAGTGGATCTTTGTTTCTACTTCCAACCGTCATCAACCAATTAAAACATGTCCACCGGAAAGCATCGTCAAGGTGTCTGTAATACGAACCATATCAATGAAGACTGAATATTTCAGTCCAGTATGAATCAGTCAATGGAAACTCTTCAATATTGGTTGCACCGAGTGATTACTACTGCTACTGTAAATTTCAAAATGTGGATTACTGAATGAAGAATATTCTTCTTGATAACTTCATCATGTTCTGCAATATTATATATCCATTTCAGCTAATGAGTAACTGATTTTTAAGAACACAATATTCAGTGGAGAGACTCTTTTCAACAAATTTATTATCAAGCTGTACAATCATGTATTTATATATATATATAGTTTTTAAGAAATTATATCCGGTGATTTCGACGGTAACTTTGCCTTCTCTTTGTATAGATTCGCCATAACTCCCATTTATTATCAAACTTGTACGAATAAAACTGTTATTCAAGTTATAAGAATTTGTATGGATCTGGGTTAACTCCACTTGTCAGACTTCGTAATGAACCAGCATCAGTTAGAGGACATTGGAAACCAGTGGGCGTTGGCCATCTGTTTCGTGCACTGCTGACAAGTCCCAAGCTAGGATGAAACCGATGTCCAGTGCTCCCTGGCCTTCAGTGATCTCTAAATGATGTTAATTCATGAAGAAATCTGACAGCCGAAGTCTTTTATCTTCCTAGTTTAGCCTTAGTTACTTACTGTCACTCACGCTCATAGACTTATTTCTCATTTTTGGCCCGATATAGTCACTTATCCACATAAAATGTAGACATAGCAGTAAGAAGACTTAAGTTGTCTGAATCGTGTTGTGTATTTGCGCAACATATTTCGGACAATCTAATCACACACGGACTGGTCATATGAATATATGTGAAATTAATAAAGAGTTGAGAGGTGAGAAAACAGACTTAAGTCAAGTCGAAAGGACATACTAAATGTCAAAATAACAATGAGGACCACTAAACCAAATAACAGAGGTAATAGTCCATCTATCCTGACTGGTATCAAAACAAAGTTTACTAAGAAAGGTTTAGTGTGATGACAAATTGTTGCTTTGAACACATAAGGTGGTTTAAACTTTCTAGTTGCTAGCTAGGGCTTCCACAAACTTTGGGATACGTACCAAAGACGTTTTATAGATAGGTTTAAAAGATGTGTTAACGTCAATTTTATATCCTGTCTCTATAATATGTTCCGCAATAGGGGAGCTAGGTCTCCTGCTCTCACCAATAATGGATTCTGGGGATTCGATTGGCTTCTGGAGCCATTTAGAAATATGCTCTGAAAGATCGATGAGTTTTCTCTATGTATGTGTGTCCACACGCACATTCAAACTGGTAAATACAGTAGTATGTGACATCATTTCTCATGATCTGAGGACTTAGATAGGCTTCACATTCACAATTATTATGACCTTACCTGCATAAAAAGTCTTTTTAACAGCAGCGTTCAATCTTTGTCTAGTTATCAAGCTGCTATGATGCCCTACATAGGGTAGCTTGATGTACACGTCTTTCTTAGGGGCGAGTTGGAGAGTGGGTCCTGGTGATCTGACTACTTAATATCTCATGAACTTGTCTGGATAACTGTTACCAACCAGAGTTTGTGTCAACTTTCTTTCTTCTTCATCAAGTGTGTCTTCAGTGTATATTCGTTGGATTCTACTGAAGAGGCAACTTACTAAGGCTCTGTTGTACCGAACAGCCCAGAAACTGTGATAATTAATATACTATCCGTGTAATCATTCTATATAAAATTCAGTGTGAACATTACTTAGGTTCATTCACTTTAATTTGCATTTCTGAGACTCAATATTATATTTTTCCATGTTATCACATATACATGTTTCAAACTATTATCCATTCACAGTCTATTACATATACCTCTTCGAATTTTGACGTCAACA